TCGCCATCTTGATCTCAGCTTGATCGGGTACCTTTTACTGCGAAAAAGCACACTGGCGGGATCGGTCGTTTCAAGTTATCTTGACTCGCGTTGTCGGTATTTTGTACATAACTCGAGCTGTAGGGTTGCTACAGAGCTGGTAAGCACACCTATCGCATTCAGAATCATCAGGCGCGTTCGCCTGTTGAATCCAGCCAGAGGTCTGAACTCGGTCTGCTAGCCGAGCTAGGTCCGCAAACCTATTCGTATTAATGGAGTCTTCTTGACAGACGCTCTCGATTTTCTGTATTTAACTCGAGCTCTAGGGCAGCTACAGGGCTCATTGTCACAGACATCGATGGGAAATCATCAGTCCGTTGGTCTATTGAATCGAGAGCTCTGAACTCGGCCTGCTGCCTGAGCTAGGGTCGCGAAACTATTCGTATTGTCCGAATCATCTTGAGGAGTTCTCTCGATTTTCTGCACTCAACTCGTGCTGGGCAGGGCTACAGTGCTGCGGGTCACAGATATCGATTTGCACACATCAGGCGCGTCTGTCCGTCGATTCCAGAGCTTGGATCTCGGTCTGCTGCTCAAACTAGGTCCGCGAAACTATTCTATCATTCGAGTCGATACTTTGGGTTTTCTGCACTTAACTCGGGCTGTAGGGGGGCTGCAGGGCTGGGAATCACATGAGTGGATTCGCAGACATCAGACGCGCCCGCCTGTCGCATGCAGAGGTCTGAACTCGGTTTGATACTCGAACTGGATTGCGAAACTGTTTGTTTTTTGTTAGAGTCATCTTGAGAGGTGTGAAATCGCTTGGGCTGAAAAACTGGTCGTCTTTTGGAGTTTTTTTCCACACTATATACTGTCAGGAAGCTCTACGAGTCCCCCCGGCGGTAAGGAAGGTTGACGGTTTACCGCCGGCGCCCAGTCCGGCGCGCTGGAGAGCTAGTTGGCAAGAAAAATCTCGACGGAACTTTTGCTGACTTTTGGTCGGTTGAAATTTTTGTTCTCAAAATTCAACAATTCTTTTGAGCTCTAGTATTTTTCCCCGTGATATTCGATCATTCCCGCTCGCCATCTTGATCTCAGCTCGATCGGGTGAATATTACTATCAAAAAGCACTGTGGCGGGATCGGCCGTTTCGAGTCATCTTGATACGCGCTGACGGTTTTCTGAACATAACTCGAGCTTTAGGACAGCTACAGAGCTGGTAAGCACAGCTAACCGATGTAGAATGATTAGGCGCGTTCGCCTGTCGAATCCAGATGTCTGAACTCGGTATGTTAGCCGAGCTAGGTCCGCAAACCTATTCGTATTATTCGAGTCATCTTGACAGGAACTCTTGGTTTTCTTGTAATTATCTCGAGCTGTAGGACAGCTATAGAGCTGATATTTAGAGAAACCGATTCAGAATCATCAGTGGCCGTTCTCTGTTGAATCCAGAGCTCTGAACTCGGTCTGCTGCCCGATCTAGAATCGCGAAATTATTCGTATTGGTTGAGTCATCTTGAGAAATGTTCTCGGTTTTCTTCACTCAACTCGCGCTGAGGGGGGCTACAGTGCTTGTTGTCACAGGAACCGATTTCAAGACATCAGGCGCGTCGGCCTGTCGAATCCAGAGCTCGGAACTCGGTCTGCTGCCCGAATCAGGTCTGAGAAATTACTGTATTGTTCGAGTCATCCTGAAAGATGCTGTCGGTTTTCTGCACTTAACTCGGGCTGTAGGGGGGCTGCAGGGCTGGTAATGACAGGGGTCGATTCGCAGACATCAGACGCGTCCGCTGTCGCATTCAGAGGTCAAGCAATATTGACTATAAGTCAGAATGTTGGTAGGTGCTGTCGGTTTTCTCAACTTCAGTCGAGCTAGGAAGCTCTACGAGTCTCCCGGCGGTAACCTCTTTATCTCTCTGTTTGACCTCTCGCAGGAGCCATGATGGCTCTACGGCCCGCTGTGGGCCCCACTAAGCGCTTCAGGTGTGTAAAGGGCAGGAGCCCCTCATATTCTTCAGGTGACGTTCTTCCACGGGTTGTTTCCCCGTCTAATTCGTTGATTACTTCACATGTGACGTCGAGCATACGCCTCTTGTCATACGGCGGGTTGAACATGCGTATTTCGGACTGGTTTGTTGTGAATAAGAGTTTGTGCTCACTCACGCCTTGCCTGTTTGGATACGTCCGCTCCTTGCTCCGACTAGGCTGGAAAGCCTGCACAGTCGACCGCAAAGTCCGCAAAAAACCAAGGTTGACGGTTTACCGCCGGCGCCCCGTACCTCGTAGAGCTGTTCGGCATCGATGAGCTAGAGGAATTTGGCAGCGTCCAAAACCCGAAGAGCAAAGAGAATCTCGGGGGCGGGAAATCTTTCCTGGCGAGCCGTGGGGGTCCCCCTGGAGCGCTGCGGAAGCGCAGCCAGAAACGCTGCAATGCGTGCCTGCACGCATGCAGGCACGCGTGGAAGCTTGCCGGAAGCTCTCCCGGACACGTTGCCGGGCCGCCAGAGCTTCTTCCCGGAGAGCTCGCTGAGAGACCAAGGGTTTAAGATTAGAAGCTGGACGGTGGTGGTGCCCGCCAGGAGCTCTTCCACGGCGGTCCACGTTCCCCGCAGCAACTCGCCCGGCCTGGCAACGTGTCCGGGAGAAGTTCTGGCAAGCTTCCACGCGTGCTTGCACGCGTGCAGAACGCTTCGGCAGCGCTGCAACGCAACGCTTCGGCAGCGCTGCAGGGGAGCTTCCCAGAGCTCTCGAGAAAATATTTTCCGTCCCGAAGGGATCTCTTCGCTCTTCGGGTTTTCGACGCTACCAAGATGGGCTTGCCAGGAAGGCTTTTTCGTGTGTGCCCTCTTAACTCGGCGCCGGCGGTAAACCGTCAACCTTGGTTACCGCCGGGAGACTCGTAGGGCTTCCTAGCTCGACTGAAGTTAAGAAAACCGACAGCACCTACCAACATTCCGACGCACAGTGAATATGTTTTGACCTCTGAATGCAACAGGCGGATGCGTCTGATGTCTGCGAATCGACTCCTGTCATTACCAGCCCTGCAGCCCCCCTACAGTCCGAGTTAAGTGCAGAAAGCCGACAGCATCTTTCAGGATGATTCGAACAATACAAATAATTTCGCGATTGATTCTAGATCGGGCAGCAGACCAAGTTCCGAGCTCTGGATTCAACAGGCGGACACGCCTGATGTCTTCAAATCGATCCCTGTGACCATCAGCACTGGAGTCCCCCTCAGCGCGAGTTGAGTGAAGGAAACCGAGAGCACTTCTCAAGATGACTCGACCAATACGAATAGTTTCGCGATTCTAGATCGGGCAGCAAACAGAGTTCAGAGCTCTGGATTCGGAAGGCGGGCGCGCCTGATGTCTCCGAATCGATTCCAGTGATTACCAGCCATGCAGCCCCCCTACAGCCCGGCTTAAGCGCAGAGAGCCGACAACATCTCTCAAGATGACTCAAATAATGCGAATAGTTTCGCTTTTTCGTGTGTGCCCTCTTAACTCGTAGAGCTTCCCTTAGCAAGTTATTCCCGGAGAGCTCGCTGAGAGCTAAAGGGTTTAAGATTAGAAGCCGGACGGTGGTGGTGCCCGCCAGGAGCTCTTTTCCGTCGCTCCACAGGCCTCGCAGCGCCTCCGGTGAACCGGAAACGTGTCCCGGAGAGCTTCCGGCAAGCTTCCACGCGTGCCTGCATGCGTGCAGGCACGCATGGAAGCGTTTCTGCCAGCCCTTCGGCAGCGCTGCAGGGAACCCCCCGGGGCCCTCCAGGAAAGATTTCCCGTCCTCAAAGGGTCTCTTCGCTCTCCGGGTTCTGGACGCTACCAAGTGACTCGAAGAGCTTCCCTAAGCTAGTAACTCGTAGAGCTCCCCTCAGCAATTTATTGCTGGAAGCTTAAGAGTAATTCCGGGACGCTGGAGAGCTAGTTGGCAAGAAAAATCTCGACGGACCTTTTGGTGACTTTTGGTCGGTTGAAAATTTTGTTCTCCAAATTCAACCATTCGTTAGAGCTCCAGTTTTTTTCCCATGATATTCGATCTTATTCCCGCTCGTGATATCGATCTCAGCTCGATCGGGTACCTTTCACTGCCAAGAAACAGGCGGGCGGGATCGGCCGTTTCGAGTCATCTTGATACGCGCTGTCGGTTTTATCAAGATAACGCGAGCTCCAGGACAGCTACAGAGCTGGTCAGCCAGCTAATCGATGCACAATGATCAGGCGCGTTCGCCTGTTGAATCCAGAGGTCTGAACTCGGTCTGCCGAGCTAGGTCCGCAAACCTATTCGTATTATTCGAGTCATCTTGACAGACGCTCTCGGTTTTCTGTACTTAATTAACTCGAGCTGCATGCCAACTACATAGCTGATACGTACATGATCTGATCTCGAATCATGAGTGGCTGTTTTCTGTTGAATCCAGAGCTCTGAACTCGGTCTGCTGCCCGATCTAGAATCGCGAAACTATTCGTATTGTTTGAGTCGCTTGCGAGATGCTGTCGGTTCTCTGCACGTAACTCGGGCTATGGGGGGGCTGCATGGCTGGTAATCACTGGAATCGATTTGGAGACATCAGGCGCGTTCGCCTGCGGAATCCAGAGCTCCGAACTCGGTCTGTTGCCCGAACTAGCTCCGCGAGACTATTCGTATTGTTCGAGTCATCGTAAGAGGTCCTGTCGCGTTCCTGCACTCAACGCGGCAGCAGGGGGGGGGCTGCTTGGCTGGCAATCACAGGGATCGATTCAGAGACATCAGACGCGTCCGCCTGTCGCATGGATCTGAACTCGGTCTGATACTCGAAGTAGGTTTGTCAAACTATTCGTATTGTTCGAGTCATCTTGAGAGGTGCTGTCGATTTACGCACGTAACTCGGGCTGTAGGAGAGCTACAGAGCCCGTACAGAAGACAATCTAGAAACATCGGGGGCGTTCGGCTGTTGCATCCGAGAGGTCTCAATTGCCTGGGCTGAAAGACTATTTTTTCTGTGTAATTTCTTTCGACATTATATGTTGTCAGGAAGCTCTACCAGTCCCCCGGCGGTAAGCATCGTGCAGTCGGACAGCCTGCCCCTGGCCCGCCGCGCGGGGGGGCGCGTGGCGATCGGGCCACTTCGGCGACTTCGGCTGCCTGCACTTGTTTGCGGCATTTGTTTGCTTCCCGAGGCAAGCAGGCCGCCTGCACTTGTTTGCGGCGTCAGGGAGTCACACGTTTGTCGCCTAGAGTGATATTGCACTGCCTTTCATTTGACACGTTTGATCGCCTTGAGTGGTCTTCAATTGATTTGTTTTGCTGGGTGCTTCCGAGGCAGTCTCTGCAATCTTTCGCTATGCCACACGTACGGAGTGCAAGTGCTCGCATTATGCGTCGGGCGCTGGCTGTTCAAAACGGATACTGTGTGCATTCACCTGTTCGTTTGCCTCTGGAAGGTTTGGTGCCACCTACGTGTCTCCCACCACCAGGGCTGGAACGGACGACTGCCGATTTGGTTCTAGATTATCTCTTGTTGCGCGATCCACCTGTTGTTAGATACAGTTTGGAGGAGGAGGAGGCTGCCATTACGACCGTTTCGGGGAATCTTTCTTGCCGTATGCTTCAAGCCAAATGTCCATGTGCCCCTTCGGCAAATGCTGGAGTGCTGGCTGCTGATTCCGTGTTTGATGTTGGATTGCAGACTCGGTATAATCATTTGGAGGTGGAGCAAGCTGCCGTTGCGACACTCTCGGACAATTTTTCTTGCAGTTTGATGCGGGAGGAGGTTGGTCAGGGATTCGGAGGCGATCAGTTCTCTCAGATGATGGTGGTTTGCCCACGGGTCTCTTCGGTAGATATTGGAGTGCAGGCTTCTTCTAGTATGGATGTTGCGGACTCTCATTGTGAAGTCGGCTGTCAGACAGAGAGTGTCGTTGGGATGGAGGGAGGAGCTTTCGGAGTTCTTCTTGGGAAAGTGACCGTGGCGGCGGAGGAGGAGCTGGAGGCGCCCTCGAGTGCGGAGTCTTCTCCGAACGTGCAGTCTGATTCCGATAGCCGCGCCTTGTCAGGTGCGTCCCAGGGGTGTCTGAATCGTCCCGTCACGCTCAATGAGGTATCGAATCCTGTACGAGGTCACCGCAAAAGCAGAGGCAAAGGCCAACGATATCATAGCAGCGCCAAGCCGGCCAAGAGCTCTAAAGGCGCCAACATACGAGGAACTGTTCTTGGGAAAGTGACTGAGGAGGCGGAGGAGGAGTCGGAGGCAGTATCCGATGTCACGCTCGTCGTGGCATCGAACCCTGGCTGCAAGAACGAGGAGGAGGAGAATGTTCATATTGAAGCTGTTGCTCAGATGGAGCAGGAGGAGGTGGCTCAGGAGGATTTTCGCCTGTACCTGGAGAAGGCGCTAAATCTTCGTATCAGAAAATACAGATTTGTACGGACGACTGCTACGGACGACGTCGTGTCAACGGTGCACGTGCCAGATTTCCTTTCTGAATTTCGAGCCTGCGATGAGGGCGAACGGGACTGTTGGATTTGGGATGCGTTCCAAACCTTCAGGGATCACGATTCAATCGAAGCCGTCTTACATGACCTTCAGCAGGTTATGGACAGTGCTGCCCAGCCGTCTGCTCTTGTGAAAGAGGCGAAACACCTCTATGACAACTTTATGGAATTATGTGAATTGCAGAGCAGCGGAGAGCTTGATGGAATTATTTGAATTGACTACGCATGCTTCTGTGGTGTTTGTCCCTTCCTCTCCCCCGCTGTTTCTGCCCCTGGGCTCGCTTTGGCTCCTTGGGCTTCCCTGCTCCCCGCTTGCTCTCCCTTTGGCTCCCCGCTGGCTGGACTCATGAGAGCTACAGGCCGTGCTGTTCGTGTTGCTATCAATTCATGTATCAGTGTTCTGACTTCATATATTTACGACAACAGAGACATTGTATCAGACGTATCCGTGGAGGATCGTGGGAGGCCAGAGGTGGCCAAACTATTACTCGCTGGTTTGCATATGATAAGTTCCTCAGTACTCGTAAGACTGCTCTCCGTGGTGCATTCGATGGGGGTGTCAGTAATGAAGGATGTGGAGGTGGGTGGTGGCTTCAGATTGGCGTTGTAGGTAGGGGTTCCAGCGTGCAGGTTGATTTTCCCATCCTCCTCCTCCTCCTCCTCCTCCTCTTCCTCCTGCACCAGCTCGCACAGCTTCCATTGGCACGATGTGGCCGAGGAGGCGATGAGCTTGCCTCCTGGTAGCACGGTAACCTGCTGTGAACTAGCTGCCTGCGCTGCCCTGACGAGAGCTGCTGCTAAGGTGGCGTGCGCTCTGCTGCGACCTACCTAAGATGGTGGGGGGCTCAGTTGCACTGCTCCGCCGATTCGGATTCGGATTCTAGTGGCGGACCGCAAACCGCAAAAAAGAAGAAGAAAGGTTGACGGTTTACCGCCGGCGCCCAGTAACTCGTAGAGCTTCCCTCAGCAAGTTGTTGCTGGAAGCTTAAGAAGAGCTAGTTGGAGAGCTAGTTGGCAAGAAAAATCTCGACGGACCTTTTGGTGACTTTTGGTCGGTTGAAAATTTTGTTCTCGAAATTTGACCATTCGTTAGAGCTCTAGTATTTTTCCCATGATATTCGATCTTATTCCCGCTCGCCATCTTGATCTCAGCTCGATCGGGTAACTTTGAAGGCCAAAAAGCAGGCAGGCGGGAACGGCCGTTTCGAGTCATCTTGATACGCGCTGTCGGTTTTCTCAAGATAACTCGAGTTTCAGGACAACTACAGAGCTGGTCAGCACAGCTAATGCATTCAGAATGATCAGGCGCGTTCGCCTGTTGAATCCAGAGGTCTGAACTCGGTCTGCTAGCCGAGCTAGGGTCGCAAACCTATTCGTATTATTCGAGTCATTGTAGCAGACGCTCTCGGTTTTTCGTACTTAACTCGAGCTGTAGGGCAGCCACAGAGCTGATAATCACAGAAATCGATTGAGAATTATCAGGCGCGTTCGTCTGTTGAATCAAGAGCTCTGAACTCGGCCTGCTCCCCGAGCTAGGTTCGCGAACCTATTGGTATTGTTCGAGTCATCTTGAGAAGTGCTCTCGGTTTTCTGTACTTAATTCGTGCTGGGGGAGGGCTACAGTGCTGCTGGTCACAGGAATCGATTTGAGACATCAGGCGCGTCCGTTCGTCGAACCGAGAGCTCGGAACTCGGTCTGCTGCTCGAACGAGATCCGCGAAACTGTTGTATTATTCGAGTCATCCTGAGAGGTACTCTCGGTTTTCTGCACTTAACTCAGGCTGTATGGGGGGCTGCAGAGCTGGTAATCACAGGAATCGATCCGCAGACATCAGACGCGTCCGCCTGTCGCATTCAGAGGTCTGAACTCGGTTTCATACTCGAGCTCGATTGGAAAACTGTTCGTTTGTTTTGTTAGAGTCATCTTGAGAGGTCTATAATCGCTTGGGCTGAAAAACTAGTCGTCGCATTCAGAGGTCTGAACTCGGTTTCATACTCGAGCTCGATTCAAAAACTGTTTATTCGTTTTGTTAGAGTCATCTTTGAGAGGTCTATGATCGCTTGGGATGAAAAACTAGTCGTTCGCTGAAATTCTTTTCCACATTATATATTGTCAGGAAGCTCTACGAGTCCCCCGGCGGTAAGAAAGGTTGACGGTTTACCGCCGGCGCCCAGTTGGCCCAGCCGGCCGAGGCGGACAATGTGGCAACTTTTGGGTGGTTTTGCGAAAATTTGCAAGATATTTGACCATTTATTTTCAGAAAGCAGATTTTTCGCACCTGTAAACGAATATGAGGGCCTCTCTGTCTTAATATGAGCTCTCTAGATGCACTTTTACTATCAAAACACTTGGCGGAACCAACTTTATGTCGACATGAAAAAAAATCATGTTTTCTCTTTTTTCGAGAAATGCTTCCAATAGCCCTCTCTTTCGATGCTGGGCACTCTTACGCGTGCTAGAAGCTCTACGAGGTTCTCGGCGGAAACCAGGTTGACGGTTCACCGCCGGCGCCATTGGCAAGGAATATCTCGACGGACCTCTTGGTGACTTTTGGTCGGTTGAAAATTTTGTTCTCAAAATTCGACCATTCGTTAGAGCTCTAGTATTTTTTCCCATGATATTTGATCTTATTCCCGCTCACCATCTTGATCTCAGCTCGATCGGGTAACTTTTACTGCCAAAAAGCACACGGGCGGGATCGGCCGTTTCGAGTCATCTTGATACGCGCTGTCGGTTTTATCAAGATAACTCGAGCTTTAGGACAGCTACAGAGCTGGTAAGCACAGCTAATCGATGCAGAATGATCAGGCGCGTTCGCCTGTTGAATCCAGAGGTCTGAACTCGGTCTGCTAGCCGAGCTAGCTCCGCAAACCTATTCGTATTATTCGAGTCATCTTGACAGGCGCTTTCGGTTTTCTGTACTTAACTCGAGCTATAGGACAGCTACAGAGCTGATACTTAAAGAGACCGATTCAGAATCATCAGTCGCGTTTGTCTGTTGAATCCAGAGCTCTGAACTCGGTCTGCTGCCCGATCCATAATCGCGAAACTGTTCGTATTGTTCGAGTCACCTTGAGAGGTGTTCTCGGTTTTCTGCACTTAACTTGGGCTGTAGGGAGGCTAGAGTGCTGGTGGTGACAGCAATCGATTTGAAGACATCAGATGCGTCCGCCTGTGGAATCCAGAGCTCGGAACTCGGTCTCCTGCCCGAACTCGGTCCGCAAAACTGTTCGTATTGTTCGAGTCATCCTGAAAGAGGCTGTCGGCTTTCTACACTTAACTCGGGCTGTAGGGGGGCTGCAGGGCTGGTAATCACAGGAATTGATTCGGACACATCAGACGCGTCCGCCTGTCGCATTCAGAGGTCTGAACTGGGTCTGATACTCGAGCTGGGTTTGTCAAACTATTTGTTTTGTTCGAGTCATCTTGAGAGATGCTGTCGATTGACACACGTAGCTGGGGCTGTAGGAGAGCTACAGAGCTCGTACAGAAGACAATCCAGAAGCATCGGGAGGCGTTCGGCTGTTGCATCGAGAGGTCTGACATCGCTTGAGCTGAAAAACTATTCGTTCTCTGCAATTTTTTCGACATTATATATTGTCAGGAAGCTCTACGAGTCCCCCGGCGGTAAGAAAGGTTGACGGTTTACCGCCGGCGCCCAGTTGGCCCAGCCGGCCGCAAAAAAAGAAAGGTTGACGGTTTACCGCCGGCGCCCAGTAACTCGTAGAGCTTCCCTTAGCAAGTGACTCGTAGAGCTTCCCGAAGCTAGTTGCTGGAACCTTAAGAGTAACTCGTAGAGCTTCCCTTAGC